TATTGCAATGACCATCATAAATATGAATGCAGGTTACTATTTAAGGAATAGGGTACACATGAAAAGAATTGAAAGTTTTTTTCCATTTCACTCAAGCAGACATTAATTACATGAGAGTGTTATCGCTGCTTCTATCTTCTTTCCTTCTTTCTTTCTTTCTTTCTTTTTTTCCATAAAACTATACAGTGTCCCAGATATCTTTTTTCTGTCTCTCCTTCTCATCAAAACTGAACGGTCCATTATTTATGCATTAGCAAGGCATAACGTACATGTTAACTAAATTTCTAACCGAAGAAAGAAAGAAAGAAAGAACAAGCATTATTACAATTTCATATTTTCACTTCAGCAAATTTTACACTGTTTACAACAGCATTAACACAATAATTAAAATGACTAATAGATTAACAGGAAACGTTTGGAGCAAACAATCACTTGGACAATCTCTACACTCATTGCATGAAAAAAAACGAAAGCTCCTGTTTGCCTAAAAGAAAAGATGAATGTAAAAAAAATTGACCAAAGTATCTTGTCAATCATTTTTCACCAAATATATATTAGATGTGAATTGCGGTATATATATATATCAGGTGTAACATCAAAAATTATTCAAATCGTGTAACAGCATAGGATACTTGTCTATCCCCAAAAATGTTTAACATCTAAAAAAAAAAAAAAACACTAAACTAATTAATTTTTTTTCATGTTTTCAGATTAGGACGTTTATCCATGCTGACACCATTTGTTGAAAGAATCAAGAATGTATTGTGTTGACGGATTCAACCGTTTTCTTTTGATTTCTTCATATATTTCTTAGGAGACGAGTGATTGTGTTTGGAAAGGTTAAATTAGGGAAAAACCTGGGCGTAGATTAATACACAATACAAACAATAATTGTACACGTGAAAATATTCTCTTCGAACATAAAGTGATTGATGTAATTTTTCAGTTGACCATATGAATATACAATACAGTTTCTCAATTCTTCTAGTTGCTAATGACATTTTGTTTATTGTTTATAGATACTTTGTTTCAATAAATTCATTTCATTTTTCTGTCTTGACCACATTGGACGAAACACATCGGCTAAAACTACAGTTTTTCTATTGTCTTTTCTCCTTTATATATATATATATATATATATATATATACAGAAGTTTTATTATTCAATTCAATTTTTGCACAGTAAAACTGGTATTAACTAATCAATTTTAATAGAATGTTCAATACATATATTTTTAATAAGTATACCTTACGAACTTCAGCTGATCTTTTTTAGAAATATTGGGTATTAATATTTGTTTAACATATATATATATATATATATATATATATATGTGTGTGTATGTGTTTACTAATAAATATATATACACACACACACATATATATATATATAATATGTAACTATTCTGTGATTCCATTTCAAATTTTCGATGTTATATTTAATCTCTCCCTCTCTCGCCCTATATATATATATATATATCGAAAATTTGAAATGGAATCACAGAATAATTATATATATATATATATATATATATATATATATATATAATAAACACACCTCTCTCTCTCTCTCTCACGCACACACACATATATATATATATGTTGAACAAATATATATATATATAGAGAGAGAGAGAGAGAGATTAAATACATCGAAAATTTGAAATGGAATCGCAGAATGATTGAAATTGAAAGCATTGTCAAGATAAAAACAAGAAAAAAAAACTGTTTTTCAGACTGCCAGGAAGAAATCTATACAACTAAATTCAAAAGTAATCAGCCAGTTGATTGAAAAGAAAGAAAATATTTGAAGGAGTTGATTTTGCGAAAGCAACACTCAGAGAAATGCTGCAGAATATTAAGAACATGTGTTAAAGAAACGAAAGCAATAGAATTACCTTTTCAAGCATATATCACAAAGAAAAACCATGTCAGTTCACCGAAGACGTACATGAAAACTGAATTCCCGACTGTGATTTTTTTAATTATCAATGTAGTGCTACATTATATGGACCTAGCTAGAAATGGTAACCGTAATGAACAGGGTAATGGTATATTTGCTGTTTCCTTATAAGGAAACATTCAGCATTCATTGACCGAACAGCCAGTGTTATTTTAGGTTGAAATCATAAAATATTTCCCTTAAAACAATTTTTCAGGAAAATAGGTTTCTCAAGTCCAGTAACTCTTATTGATATTTTCAATATTAACTGGGGTTTCCTTCTTAACCTTTTGTTTGAAGTAATGTGGAAATTCAGTATCTTGATTATGCCATTATTTTCCCTTTAAATGTGCTATCGATTTTAGTTGTTGCTATTTTTGAAAATCCTCAAGTTATGACTTTTCTGTCATTTTGGTTTGTGGTTTGGAGCGCTATCCCACCAGGTTTGAAGAAGAAGGTTAACCCCCCGGCTTCATTCTCTCGAAGTCGCTTTTAATTATCAAGCTGAGAAAGTCGTTGTATACGGCTGAGAGTTTAGTTATTTCTTAACGTGTTTGGCGACATCCATGTGAAAGTTTCGAACTTATAAGGTTATTTAAGAATATTTTTTTTGTTCAAGATCATTTTTACCTCAACTATAAATACCTACGTCATCATCATAATGATCACCCCTTATCTCTATTCACTGGTCTTGGGAGGAGAGGAAGCAAGAACTTTGGGGTTTTTTATTTGTAGATTCGTTTGAGTTGAGGTATAGAATGCTTAAATGATCAGTATGCCTCGCTTTAGTCAATTAACACGATTCAGATGAAAGCAAGAAAAAGTGGCTGTTCGACTGCTACCGTCTTAAGTAAAACGTTCTCTGATTGGAATAGATAAAACATTCATTTAACTGAAAAATATATTCATCCATAACAATGCACTTTCACATTCTGTAAAGTCGACTATTGCTCACCTTGCCGACAAATAAAGGTTTCCACACTCAGCCTTTCTAAATATTAATGCATTGTTTAGTCTGTTGTCAATTATTTAAAAAGATATACATATATATATATAGCTGGCCACTCGTATTCGGGGATAACAGTCTACTAGGGCGGCTTGCCAATCCCTATTACAGACTTTGCTCAGGGGCATTTGTGTTTATTCAACACCCACATAGCCTACCTGTAGTTTGTACTGCAGCTATGCTGAGCGGACCTTAGTTACAGTTTCTGGTAAAGAGCGTGTTATCTAGCATAATGAACAAGTTGAACAAGGCCAGCACGCTCAATCCCAGGGGTTCCGTCTACCCAATTTCACCCCCAAGACTTGGGCCAACCTGTGGTATGGTTTTCAGACGCTTTCAAAACGATCGACACCCTCCAGACTGATAACACCAAGAAATCACCTTCCTAACAGATCGACCATATTGAGATTCGAACCCGTTTCTCATGGTCAGAACGCGAACGTTCTAACCACTCGGCCACGTGCTCATATTATACATGCATCAGAGTGGAAAACATAATATTGGGAAGCAATTAAAAAATATTATAAGTAAAAGTAGTAGAAAAGTTGTCAAAATTAATGGTTGAAAGATTAATGAAGGTTGTAAAATATCAAGGAGCCCATATTAACAAGTAGAATAAAATAGTTTATTCAGATATATGAGATATTTGCTGTATCAAATGTTTCTATGAACTATATATTTTAGATTTTTTTAAAGGATAGATATTACACACGAGGACAAGCACAATATATTGCTAATATAAATATAAACATCTCTGAATTTCTGGAATGAGACGTTATCATTATTTACATTATTTACATTCGGACTAATTTGTTGCTTGTTGTTAATATTACGTGTCGTCTTTCATTAATTGTCTGTTGGAATAAATAAAGGGTACACTTTGAAATACCCTAAAGGTTACCCGAATCAACAGGCACCTGAAGAAGGACGAGAAGTACAACTGCCGAAACGTTGTGATAGTAACATCAAAGCTGAAGTTAACAGTCCGCGTGTAAATAATGTAAATAAATATATATTCTGAAAACTTTAACAATGATTAATATCAATCTAATTGCGTAAACATTATCAAGCGTAATAAAATCTGACATATTGTATGTGTGTGTGTGCGTCTGTGTGAAAGTGTATTAATGCGCATATGTGTGTAATTTTTTAGGTATAAACTGAAAAATTCACAGAACTGTTTTAATGAGCTATTGTTTTTTTAAAAAAAAATGGCTAAAGGTAAAATGTTGGAAAGGACGTTAAAAGTCATGTGGTTTAATTTCCTCAATGAAATTTCAAAACTGTCTTCCCTTAGTAGTAACCGCAGAGAAAGGAAGCACGAAAATTCGATTCCAATTAAAACTCGTTAGATTTACACTTTTAAGTTATTCGATAATCAAGATAGTTTAATTATAGCAGTATATAACTATAAAAAAAAACCTATTTAACATTGTCGGACAAAAAGTGAAATAGGTTTCTATCTTCAAATTGACTTTGAGTGTATCATCTTGAAATATGCATCACGCTAATAAAAAAAAAAACAATAACTACTTGTCAGGCGAAAGTATCGAAGTTTAGTTGTAATTTTCTACTAATAACTTTTATTTTAAAGAAAACCTGCAACTTTACAAGACTATTATGCTTGTTCTCGACCTATAAACACCCACAGTTCTTTCGCAGTTTCTTTTTTCTTTTCTTTTTTTTTTTTTTTTGTATCAACGTTAGAGACATCAATTACTACATAAAATGCTAAAAGATCCCTTACCTTTTTGTTATAGTATCACCTTATGTTAAAGAATAGTGTGGTGTTTGTGTAGCCTGTTCTTCTATTGGTATGTAAATCCAAGGAGTGAGATCGAACCCACTTTCCACAAAGAAGTTGTGGCCAGCGGCGCTATGTCGGTTTACTTTATGAATGGCGTGCGATGCAGTCAGTTAAAACTTCAGAATGAATAAATCCGACAGAACTGGTCATTTTTCATCAGCTGGTTCTGGGCGAACAGAGGCTAGCGGAGAGGAGAGACAAAGAGAGAAGAAGTAGGTGGTTATTCACTGCAACAAGCCACGATGATGCGAATACGAGTGGAAACAGCTGCGTGTGTTCGAAAATCTATTCTAAATTGTGCCCGATTCACGTTCTCTCGGCTTTGTTCCTTTCTCTCTCCCATTGTTTCCCTCTCTCATTCTCATTCTCATTTTCTCTCTTTCTCACTCTCTCTCACTCCCTCTCTCTCTCTCTCTCGTTAGTTCTCTTTGGTTATCTTCCTGCTCCACGTCTTTATTTTCTTTTTCTCTCTCTCTAACTCTCTCTCTCTCTCTCTTACTAACGCTATCTATCTATCTATCTATCTATCTCTCTATCTGTTCTTTATCTTTCCATATTTACTCTTCTCCAAGTGCATCTCTTTCACCCTCACCCCCTCTCTCTGCTTGTTTCTTTCTCTTGCTCCCCCCCTCGTTAGTTCTCTTTTGTTACCTTCCTTTCACCCCGACATTGTTTCGCTCTCTCTCTCTTTCTCTCTCTCTCTTTCTCTCTCTCTCTTTCTCTCTCTCTCTCTCTCTCTCTTTCTTTCGATTTATCTATCTACCTGTTGTTTGTGCTGTAATTCTGATTCCTGTTAGTGTATTTTATTCTCTCAATTCCTCTCTCTCTGTCTCTCTCTCTCATCTTCTCTTTTTTCTTTTTCATTCTCTCCCTCTTTATCATTAGTTCTCTTTGGTTATCTTACCGCTCTTTCTCTTTCTTTTCTCTCTTTTTCTATTTGGTTGTACTTTATCTATCTATCTATCTATCTATCTATCTATTGTTCCGTAAATTTCCTGTCGTTTTGTATTTGGTTCTAATTATTTCTCTTTCTCATTCACTCCCACTCTCACTCTCTCTTGTCACACATATGTTCTCTGTTTCATTATATCAATATTGTTTGTGACTTTTAGTATCTTATATTCTCTCTCTCACTCCTTTTTCTCTTTCTCTCTTGCTTTTTACTTTTTACACCTCGCGCCTACATTCTCTTACGATAGATAGACCAATATCCTTCCCTGACTCTCTCTCTCTCTCACTCACTCACTCACTCACTCACACACAGACACACGGGTTTTAGCTTCTCTCTTGTTCTTTCTAATACCGCTGATTCTCTTTTTCTCTCACCCGCTTCATTTTATTTCCTTTTCTCTATATACCTATCTCTCACCGTCCCGGGTAAGACGATAAACTACGTCCAACAGCAAAGTCTCTGATCAGGAGGTTTTGAGGATCGTGGAACCACCTCTTAATTGCTGATGTTCCCAGGTCCCCGCTGACCCGGGGTGGTAGCACCTGTTAGGGTCGCAGCTATGGGCAAATAGTTGCCCCCCTACCAAACTGGGGTTAAAAAAAACTATGAAAGTGTAAAAATAGGTTTTAATATCAGAAATACTTTGTAAGAAAAAAAATTATTACCAGACCAGCAATAAACTTTTAAAGAAAAATTATTACCAGCAATACATTGTTGAAAAAAAACATTACCATTCATACATTTTTGAAAAAAAATATTACCAGCAATAAAAAATCTTGTCGACATTAATACCTCATTGATATTGATATGCCGTGAAACAAACCAAATCAAGCCCAAACCTATCTCTAATTCTTTGCCTGTCTCATATTTTCGTTCTTAGTAGCCGCTAAAGCCACATAGTGTGTACCATTCTTTTCCTTTCTATTATTCCTTTTGGTCCACCTATCTCATGATAGATAGATAGATAGATATAGATAATCTCCCTCTCCCTCTTTCAATTTATCGCTGTTCCTTCTCTCCGATTTTTTCCTAATGTACTTCCCCTCGCTCTCTCGATTCTCGCTACACACACACACACACACACACATACATATATATATATATATATATATATATATATATATACATACACACTGAATTTCTCTGCTTTTCCTTCTCTCTGATTCGCGCTTTCTTTTCTGTCTCTGTTTTTTCCTTTTATCTCCTCTTCTTTTCTCACATTTTCTCTCTGTCACTCTTTCTCTCTCTCTCTCTTTCTCTCTCTCTCTCTCCATGTTTCCCTTCCTGTTTATCTTTTTTTTCTTTCTCTTTCTTTCTTCCCCTTTTTCCTTCTTTCTCCCATCGTAGACTCTTATCAACATTAATATATGTGTACAAACTGTCACCCGTCTACAATTTCTTACACGACGCGTACCTCTAGAAATTTTTAATGCTTTCGAAATTACGGATGCAATTTTTCATTTAAGTACACAAAAATTCTTCTTGTATAGTATTAATTATTTACATATCTCTGATATCTGTTTAGGTCCCATATATTAGAGATATTATTATTGATATTATCGAGATAGAATTAGTTGTTTTTTTTTTTTTTTCCCGTTATATAATTTTTATACCAAGTCAAATTTTTCATTCACTTGTTAAAGTAATAAACTTTGGCAGTCGGACGAAAATGAAACTATAAAAACATTTGCATTTTAGCATCGGCTGCATTTGAATGATTTTTATTTAATCCATCCTCGGTCGCTTCATTTTCTCTTTTTATGTGATAACCAGATACTTCTGGTGGCATGAAATGTACTCGTGACTCAGCAACTATGTTCACAATATTTCGTCAGAAAATTGTTTAAACAAACCCCGGCAATTAATTTATTTGTTGTCCATTTGAAAAGCAATTTTTAAAAAAAAAGTTCATTTTTATTGGATAAAAATTAATGTAAGCGTTCCTAACAGAACAGGATTACTGAATGCAAATATAGAATTGTATTAAAACTCAGCAAAAATAGAATCATCTGTGAACGTGAATTAATGCAATTGAAGATTGATGTTTTTACAGCTTTTCAACTCATTGGCAGTTATTTACATCTGAAAAATAATTTTGAACTGTAAGAATAATCATTATTTTTTTTTTTTTTTTTTTTTTTTTTTTTTTTTTGCGAGTGAATATTGCAGTATCAGTTTCTTTTATATACAAGTCCTTCTAACCCATAGTTGTAGGAAGAAGAGATGGATCTCTACCATTCCCAAGGGTATTTGCGGGTGAATTAATGCAAACACTACTGATAGAATATGCTACGTAAATGTATCATATATATGTGTGTGTGTGTGTATAATTATTATAATAGGGAAAACGAACACTTAATATACTATTGTGATATTTATTTCATTAGAATCGAAGATTTGTTTCCAACTCTTCAGACCGACTCTTACACACAAATATAAACGGACAAGGATTTTACCAGACTTAAAAAATTCAGCCAGAACATAAATTATGTTAAATATGCAGATTCAGATTTAGCGGGGGAGTGGTAGGTAATGAAAGGGTATGTATTCAGAAAGGGAGAAGGCAAAGGAGGGAACGGTAAAATATTCAAAACTAAGAAAGATTTAAGTTGTTCAAAAAGATGGTTGAGGTTATTGACATGCTGACCAAATTTTTAGAAACACAATGCAAAAAGGAACGGACTTCTTCAGATGATAAGGAGAAATAGACAGGGAAGAAGAGAGAAAGGGAGGAGAAAGAAAGAGAAAGTTAATTCGATAGACGCCTGGAGAAACTGACAATTTTTATATAAATCGAAAATGTCTTTTGTCTGATAATATGTAGTCAGTTATATTTATGACACTTTTTAATTTAAAAAAAAATAAAAATATTAACAATAATGTTGTAAGGAATTTTTGATTACCGGGCAAAACATACACACACACACACACATATATATATATATATATATATTTAAAACATTTTTTATGTTTAACATTCTTTTTATAGATACAAATATTTAAGTAAATGCTCTGTTTCTAATAAACAGTATTAACAACATTTACCGACCTGCATGTCTGAGAAACTTTCATAGAAAATATGCGTCCTCCGACAGGAATCGAACCTATATCCTATACGGAACCGTCATATAATCTGACGTGTTTTTACCGATGGCGGTTCCGTATAGGATGCAGGTTTGATTCCTGTCGGAGGACGCATATTTTCTATGAAAATTTCTCGGACATTCAGACCGGTAAATGTTGTTAATACTGTTTATTATAAACAGAGCATTTATTTAAATATTTGTATCTATAAAAAAGAACGTATAAACATAAAAAAAATCTCTTAAAATAATTGTCGGACTTTGTCCATTTCAAAATATATATATATATATATATATATATATATATATATATATATATATATATATATGCTCTGATTGGCCGACAAAACATGGGATCTTCCAGCAATATGCATCACGCTCTCTCCTTTGTTGACCAAGACACGCGAGTGTGGAGAGAAGGAAAACATTCTGTATGCCAATTACACATGTACGTACATACACACAAAATATTTTTATGTATGCATACTCTATATGTATCGTATGTATGAAGACAAATTAACATTAACACTAAAAACAATTCACTGTTAATAACTCATTGTCCCCTTATTCTGCTGGTATAGTACGCGGAAGGGTCAACACCTTATCCATGCTCCCCCAAAATATTATCATGCCCCCCACCATTGGTGCATGCGTCCTGTGTTGGGAATCATTAAATATTTTGGTATTTTCGTATGAAGTGTGAATGCATCTGTGTACGTGTGTTCGTCGGCGTATTTCTCATGAAAGCATATCGTGCAAGTAGGCAAGCTAGCACCCAGCCTTCCATGCCGTGGATTCTGTGGGCTTTTCTGTTAATGTGGACACGAACGTGTTTGATATAAGGTAAAATTGTGCGTGTATCAGTTATTTATTATCGTTTATTACGGTATCCAGAGATTTTCTAGAGATTCGTGCATCAGCAAATTCCTAACTTCTCACAATAAAACGTAATTCTTACATCGGAAATTAGTCATTTAGGTATCGCTACATTCTACAACCATGTGAATAAAGATAAGTAGGGAAATAAGAAAGAAAAAAAAAACGCCTCGATTTCACTGCAAAGTGTGGCGAACTAGGAATGCCTTAATTTGCTTCAACTGTTTATTATTATTATTGCTATTGTTGTTATTGTTGTGTTTTGCCTTTGCTTTGTGTAGTACGAATTACCCCTAAGTCTCGACCAAAGACTTCAAGAGACTTTTACAGCTTTTCAACTCTGGTCTTGAGATGTAGTCATACGTAAATAAAATGTCCCCACTGGAACATGTTCATTTTCATGGTTTTCTCTTTTGACTTTATGTACTATCTCACACCCACTTGCTACGCGCGCACACACACATACACATACAAACAAACACACACACTCAAACACACACGCAAAAAAACAAGCACATTTTTATTATAGCTAGTTTCATTTTTTTTCCTTTGGTCACATGTAATTCGTTTAGTAAACATGCATTATCGTTTGTTCTATATTTATTAATTTGTGTTTTTAATTTTTTACTTGGTCTCACATTGAGTTCGCTAATATTGTTTGAGTGATAATTTTTCCAGGATCCCATAAATATTTATTATCCAAAGTGTTGACTACCACAACATAATGGTGACTAAATATTTACTTTAAACATACCAGCATCCCGCAACAAGTTTTTGGCATAAAAAGATACAAAAAGATGAGGTGCCATAGAGTCACAGAGAAAAAATGTAATTATGGTTACTACATGGAGAGAAATCTATGACAAATACTATTGTTGTTTTTGTTGCTGTTGTAATTATTGTTGTTTTATTTCCCTTGGCTTCTGGTGTATACTCATTTCTTTCCTGTATGTTACCAGAGACCTAAGGTCAGAAATGGCATCATGACATTTTCCACTGAGCATTTTTCAAAAAAAATATTTTACATTGATAAAATCCTTCGTAAAATGTGGGCTGTACTTGTGAGTACAATTTTTTGTATTTCTTTAAGGCGTGGGCTACAAGGGATTCTTTCAATTAGTTTATCGCAATCTTTTCCAATTAATCCGAGGGCTCCAACTACAACTGGAATTGTTAATGTCCTTATGCGCCACATTTTTGAGATTTTGATTTGAAGGTCCTTGCATTTTGATAGTTTTTTGAAGATCTTCAATGATATATTGCAGTATGCAGGGACTGCTGTCAATAAGGAGGCGCATTTTGTGTTTGCGGTCTCTATTAATGATGTCAGGGTGATTAGCTTTGATTTCTCTCTCCGTGTGTAGTGTA